ATGGATGGATTATATATCATTTAGTGTACAGACTATGAAACCAGCAATGTTCCACGTCTGCAGAGGGCTTAAGTGAGCGGCTTGGTGGAGACTAGGTGGGGCATTTTTAGAGCTTTATTGTTGAAAATAGCTGCCTGCTGTTTTAAAAAGTAAGGAGAAGTTCAATCAAGACAATGAGCAGAAATATATTTCTAAATAAAACTGAGCTGAGCCGTGGTGATTATTCTGTGTGGGTGTGTTATTACATACAAACACAGGAGTCATTGGTCTTTTGTTAATATAAAAACATTTATTATAACCACTTCAAAATCTCTTCCTGCAGAGGTGAGAAGCCGTACGTCTGTAACATCTGCAACAAGTCGTTCTCAGACGCCAGCGCGAGACGACGACATGTTGCCTCCCACTCGGGCAAGAAACCCTTCACGTGCTCCTTCTGCAGCCTTTCATTCACCCGCCTGGACAATCTGAAAACACACACCAAATCCCACAACAAGGAGAGAGTCACCGCAGCAGAGACCTCGTTGGATGCAGCGGACGCCTCGGCAGCACCGCAGGAGGAGGTGCGCAACATCCTGCAGCTGCAGCAGTACCAGCTTCCCCCCAGCTCCGAGCAGGAGATCCAGCTGGTGGTGACGGGGGACGTGGACAACATTAACTTTGTGCCGGGTCAGGACCAGGAGATCAGCCTCATCAGCGCAGACGGGGAGACGGCACAGTCGACCCACTCCAGACTCACCCTCCTCACCCAGCCAAACGTGGCGCTGGTCGCTCAGGGCGACGTGGTGGACCACACGCCTCAGATCCACTCCATCAGCATGCTGCAGGGCCAGATGACACACCAGCCGGAGCAGATGCACGTCATCACGCTGAGCAAAGAGGCGATGGAGCAGCTGCAGGCCCACCACGGCCCCCCGCAGCCCCTTCAGATAGCGCCGCGTCCCGTCCAGCAGCTGCAGGTGATGCACCAGCCGATCCAGCAGCTGGCCGTCGCTCCGGAGACCAGGGAGCCGCACAGCCAGGCCATTCACATCAGCAGCCAGAGCAGCCAGCCCATCTCCATCAGCCAGACCAGCGAGCAGATCTCCAGCCACCACATCCAGGGACAAACGTTTCAGATCCAGGCAGGAACCGTCTCTTACTTGTACACCACGGGGCTGCCGCAGGAGAACTGAGGCTGGACGACTGAGAACATCAATCTGAACTGAGAAGAAATGAGCAATTTTAATCAATCTGTTGCTTTTCTGTTTTTACATTATAACGAGGTAAATGGTTAAAAAGTTGAAAACATGGCTGTCATTTTGGACTTAAAGGAAACATTCAGTTTGACCCAAGAAAAGAGACTGAAACAAGGAACAAAGCAACGTTTACATGCTGCACTGCATTTCAAAAGGAAGATACACGTGTACACTCTACAATACTGTGAATTTACTTGACAATAAAACGCCTCGTCGAACGAAAAATGAGCACAAGTTTCTCAGATGTTAATGTTGTGGTTTTGGAAGTAGAACAAATTACATTCTGTTCACACACGGCTGTAAATCAGCATCCAGCGGCCGGAACAACGTGTCAGACAGCGGGAATATTCACCAAACAAGTCGGTGTTGTTTTACAAAACAGCAAGAAGTGTAGCTTACCTCACAGGTCTGGTAACAACACGTCAGCAGTCAGGACGCGCAGGCGAGACGAGTCCTGAAAGACCAACAGAAGGTCATCTCACTGGATAACAAAGCAAACGTGTGTCTTGTAAACAGGTTGTTTTTATTGTAAAAACATTGTGTCTGCAGCATAGAAGTTCTCTAAATGACATAAAGGAAGCTAAAATTAAATATACGGCGCAGCGGTGTTTTATGAAAATGCTTTAGAGGCGACTGTTGGAGCTTCTGAGGCTTGAAAACAGTTCAAAACAGTCTCACTTTAGGTCCATTTAGGAGGTTTTATTTACATTTTCAGAGCATGTTGAGGAACTTGAGTAGAAATTGGGCAAATGTCAACAGTTGAAAATCCTTCAACATGTAAATAATGTTTGTGGTGAGATAGTTTTAACCTTTAAAGCAGAGACAGTACGACTTTAAACACGTTTCACCTTCTTCCTCCACCGTTATCTGCAGCCTCTGATGACTTTAGACTGTAGCAGTTAAAACACACTCCTCACCGCTTTAGGTCTGTCTATTCTCGTGTTTGAGCGGCTCCCGGCTGTTTCTGCTCTCCGGTGTCTTGGCTCTGTGGTGCAGTCCTGAAGCGTGGTGTAGTTTGTGAAGCTGCCAGGCTGCAGGGCCGACTGCTGCCGACCGGTTCTGTGTGGACCTGAGACAGAAATAGAACAGAGACCGAGCTCCACCGCGGGGCCAAAACACAATCTATAAAGGAATTTAAAGCGCCATCACTGAAAGTTATGTGTGTGTCTGGATAAACTGATGGCTTTAATTTCACTCCTGAATCGCATGAGCAGCTCACTAGATGTGATTTTTTCTGCTGATTATCACTTTGCTGCTCTGAGATGAAGACTGCGGTCCTGTGGTGGTGCGCTACCTGCTGAGGGACTTGTAGTGCTCAATCTGCTGACTGACAGCGTGTAATAAGTCCTGCTTTGGCCTGCAATAGAACAGATAGAAAGAGGAGTGAAATGTCAAGATTGTCTGAAGAGAGCAGACGAACTCTCACAGGACTGAGACTGTACAGCATCTGGAGAGTTTCTATCTTATTGTTCGTCTTCAAGGCTTTTACCTGTTGTTGATGTGCCTCTGGACAAAGCTGCCTCCACCTGGTGCTGCAGTTTATCCACTTGTTGAAAGGCCTCCTGTTTGAGGCTGCGCTCGTGCTGTAGCCGGCCCCTCACCTGAACACAAAAGGTGTGTTTTTATTCCATTGTTTGCATTTCTTTGAACTAATCACTGTCATATTGGATGGAAAGATGTGGCTTTGTTGTCTTCTTCTAAAATATGGACTTGTTAGGGTCCGAGCACCCAAAAGGGTGCGAAGACCCTATTGGAACTGCTCGGATTATTATTATT